CTTCTGTCTCCGCTGCCCCGCCTCTCTGCTCCCACGAAACCCCTTCCTCTCCTAGTCCCTCTACCCCTCCGTGACCCCTCTGCCCAAACAGAACCCCTTCACCCCTACCGAGCCCCACTCCCTGGCCCCTCTGTCCCTACTAAGGCCCCCACCTCTTTGGCCCCAAAGAGCCCCCCTCACTAACCCCTTTGCCCACATGAGTCACCCTCCCCTCCTGATTCCTCTACCTCCATCAAGCCCCCTTCTCTCTCCCCTCCTCTCCCCACTCTGCTTCCACTGGGCACCCCTCTGCCCCTACAAAGGGCCCATCTGCCCCCAACAAACCCCTCTCCTCCCTGACCCCTCTGCCCCCCCCCCATTTAGTTCCCTCTTCCATTCACTTATCCCTGATCCCTCTCACCCCACCAAGTCTCCCCCTCACGGGGCCCCCCTTGCAAATCCCTTTCCCCTAGTGCCCCCCTCCCGGTGCCCTCACCGCGCCCCTCCCTCCAGGACGAAGGAGCGGCCGGCGCGGACCCGGCCCGCCAGTCCCTCGCCGTCCCCGGGCGCTCACGGCCGGCACTGCGGCCCCGAGGGGAAGAGCTCGTCGCGCAGCCCGGACGCCCAGCCCCGCTCGTGGAGTTCCAGCCGCTCGCCCTCCAAGTCCCGCTCGCGATCAGCGGAAAAGCGGACCCGCAGCGCTAGCCGCTCGCCGTCGCCCAAGAAGGCTGCTGGCCGGTGAGTGCCCGGGGGTCCCCGCCCCGCAGAGGCCCGGGAGCGCGCGGGGTGCCCGGGCCGGGAGCGCTCACCTCTGCCGGCCTGCAGGGACAAGGACGCCGAGGGCCGCGTGAGGCAAGCCGAGGCCGAGGCCGCCCGCGCTCGGCGCCGCTCCCGCAGCTACTCGCCCATCCGCAAACGGCGCCGGGATTCGCCCAGCTTCATGGAGCCACGGCGCATCACCAGGTATGGGGCGCCTAACGGGCCCAGGTCGTGACCCGGGACAATGACCCAGGCAGCTGTGGGCCAAGGGTCCTCCAGGCCTGCAATACCTCTTGGAAGAACCGACTTGGAAGGGAGGGGAGCCTCGGTGAATGGAGGGGGGATGTCTAGGAAAGGAAGAGGTGTCAAGGAGCGGAGGAGAGGTACAGGAAAGTGGGATACAGGGAAGGGAAGAGAACCCAATAGGAGGAAGCGCTCCGAACTGGAGGTGTCCAGAGTGGGAGACTCCTAAGTGGGAGTGGGCTGGGTGAGGTGAAAAGAAGGGTCCCCAGTGAGGGCTTGAAGGTGCCTGGAGGGGGCAGGTTTGGGTCTGGATGGGCATTGACAGACATGAATTCAGTTCTGGAATATTCCAGCCACACTTCCAGCCCCTCCTTCCCTCACTTCCAGCTCCCAGCAATGATGTCTCCTTTTCTCCTTCATCTCAAGGTCCAGCCTGCTGAGTGGCCTGTGGCCAGCCTGGGGGCCAGGTGGACCCCCTCTCCACAGGCCTCCGGGAGATGCCATGTGAGCTGATCTGTTCAGCTGTCTGTCTGTCTGCCTTTCCTTTTCTCACTAATCTCACGGTTCTTCTCCCACCCCCACCCCCACCACCTGGGGGAGCTCTGGAGGAGGGGCACACAAGCCTGGTCTTGCGGGGACAGCTGTCAGAGACACCATCCTTCCCACTTTGCTCACATACAGTTGAGTGTGCCTAGGACTGGGGTTACAGTTTGAAGGCCTAGACCCTGGGTAGGGGACAGGACCACAGGGAACAATTTGGAATGCAGCTGTACCATAGCCTTGCAGGACGATCCTTAGAGGTGGCTCTCGGGACCGACCGCCAGTATCACACCTATACAATAAGCAGAGGTCCCTGAACATCTTAGCTCTAACATGGTGTGAGTCTTCCTTCTGAGACCTTGCTGATAGAGATCGCTAGAAGAGGAAAGGGTATTATTTTCCTTCTGAGATCGCTAGAAGAGGAAAGGGTATTATTTTCCTTCTGAGATCGCTAGAAGAGGAAAGGGTATTATTTTCCCTTGCCCACCCCCTGGAGTCCTGCTGTGGCACTGTAGAATAAGCACTGGACTGCAAGGTCAGTTTGAATTTCAAGTTCGGCAGTTCAAACTCACCAACTACTCCTTGGAAACCGTATGCAGGGTGGCTATGACTCAATAGCATTTAACAACCCCCTAGCCTGGAGGTCCTAACATAGCCAGATCCCCACACCTTCCACCTGGCACCCACCTCAGTCCTTCCCAGGCTGCCTCCTCCTCCCACTAACCTTTGCCTCTTTTCTTCCTCAGAATTAACCCCATGCGATGGGACATGGCTGCCCCTAACCACTATCTTTCTTTTCTCTGGGTCACAGCCTCCTGCCTTCAAACTAATTCCCAGATGGGGGTGTGGGCAGTAGCTGAGTGAGGGCCATGGGGCTGGCCTGGGTCCCGGGCTTGGACAGCAGTGGCCAGGTGTCTCCTCCTCATTCCCTTCAAATGACCATGAAAACCAAAAACCACAATTCCACTGGAGACAGAGAAACTTTGCCAAGCTCACGAACAGGGCTGGGCCATCACAAATACTTCCGGGCCAAGCATTGCTGATCTGAGTTGTCAGCAGCAGCAGCGTTGAGCAGTTCCATTCATTCAACACTTACTGAGCACCTCCTTTGTGCCTGCCACAGACTTGGGCTCCTCTTCCCGCACACAGGCGAGGAGGGAAAACATAACACATGGATTTGGCAAGTGGCCACTGACTACTACATCCTGTCTGGGGGCTCTCTAAGTCCAGGGTTCAGGGGAAAATGAGGCAGGGGAGCCCTGGCCACTGGTGGAATGAAACTCTGGGCCTGTGTGGGGCCCCGGATGCCCAGTAAATCTGCCATTTCTTCCTGGCAGTGCCCGCAAGCGTCCTATCCCCTACTACCGGCCCAGCCCCTCCTCGTCCTCCAGCTGTGTGAGCAGTGACTACGAAAGTTACAGCAGTCGGAGTCGAGGGACCCACAGCCGCACACGCAGCCCCTCCCGGACCCCCAGTCCCAGCTACCACAGTCGGAGCAGCTCGGAGAGCGGGGGCTTCTGAGCCCAGACAGACCCAGCTTGGTTGCCTCCTGTTCCAGGGAGAGGCGAGGAGCCAGGCCCCAAGACCCTGGGGGGGGCTACACCCCCACTGCTATACAGAGGGCCCGGGGCCAGCATGTGGGCAGTTGGGACCAGGGAAGGCCTTGAGGGGGGACTCCCTACAGACATGGACAAACCAGATTCTGGTGCTTTTAGAGGGTACCCACCTCCACCTCCTGTCCACCTACCAGGTCCAGGGAACAAAGAGCCGTTGCAAACACAGGGATCACCCGGCCCCTCTTCTGCTTGATGCCAGCTCACCAGGCTGAGCTTGGCGGTGGTGAATGGTAGTTTTTTCTCCTCAGCTGAGTTTGCCGACAACCGTCTCTGGAGATGCAAGTATAGGAGCCTCCCTTCCCACCCCACAGTGCCCTCAGCACCCCTCTGTCAATGGGCAGACCAGGTGGTGGTCAGAAGGAGGAAGGGCCTGCCCCTGGGGGCACCATCACCAAGGCTAACAAGCTGCTTCATCCCATTCCTGGCCAGAATGGGTAGGACCTGGGTCAGGACCACACCAGCCAGACCTTCTGCATGACAAGGGGCGGGGTACACCAACCACAGCTGCACCTGACCTTGAACTTGAAGTCCAAGGGATTCAGGTCAGAAGGTGGAAGAGGGAAGAGGCAGGGGGAGGAGGGACCCATCTGCTGAAGGAGAAGCAATCTGGGACCAGGCAGGTCAAGGGGATGGAGGGAGCGGGGAGAGGCAGGTTAGCAGTGACCTCCCTCCGCCTGAGAAGAGGGCAGCATTCTGGGACATGGGCAGATGGCCACACAAGGTCACAGCAGTCTGCCCAAAGGGGCACCTCCTCCTCAGAGCTAGGTGGGACGTGTTCAGCCAAGACTCCCCAGAGAAGGGGTAGTACAGCCCTCAAAGAAAGGGTAGGATCTGGACTGAGGGCCTCCACCTGGGGCACCAACTGGGAAGCAGTGGCCCCCAGTCCCCTTCTGCTGCCCCCTGTCCCTCCTCCTGGCGCCCTCAGGGATCTCACAAAGTCTTCCTTGGCCCAATGGGGCAGATGCCCTGGGCTCCAGTGGGGGGAGGGGCTGGGGTCTCATCTGGGTTCTGTTCCATTTCCCTCTCCCTCTCTCTCTGTGAGGCAGATACAAATGGAACTCTAATAAAACCTTTGGTGCCCGGATGGCAAATGATGAGAACAGGTCTCTGTGGACTTGGGCAGGGAGGGGCATGGGGAATGTGAGAGGGCCAACCGGGGTCCGTCCTTTTGAGGAATGAACGGGGCTCAGACTCCTCAGAACCCAAAGAACCAGAGCCCAATATATCCATCCCCCTGCTTCCATGCTTGGAGTCCTGGTGTGGCACTGTAGGATAAGCACTAGACTGCAAGGTGGGTTTAAACTTCAAGGTTGGCAGTTCAAACTCACCAGCCGCTCCTTGGAAACTCGTACACAGGGACACTATGGGTCGGAACCAACTCAGCAGCCCTGAACATTAACAACAGCCTCCATAGTTGAATCTATAAACCTTTCCTGTAGCAGAGATGGGGAGGGTACTAAGAGACCAAAAAGACCTCTCTCACAGCCTGAAGGCCCTGGGGCTCTGGACACCCCACATCTGCCAGACCCCGCTTAACTTCAGCAGTGAATGGGGGGTAGAGCCCTGGATCCAACACACAGAGAATCCTCACAACGTGTGGCATGTTCAAAGTGGTTAGGACCCAGCCCTTGGCTGAATCCTGGCCCAGTGTGTAACTCAGGGTTGAGAAAACATTTAAATTCAGTCTTCTCTTAATAATGCTCTGCACAGTGGCTGCCTAAAGTGAGTGTTCAATAAACAGGCTTTTAAGGATACATTGTATGCCTGGCCCTGGAGTCCTGGTGTGGCACTACAGGATAAACACTGGGCTGTTAACCACAAGGTTAGCAGTTCAAATCCACCAGCCGCTCCTTGGAAACCCTGTTCAGGGTTACTATGAGTTGGAACCAACTGGATGACACTTAAGAACAACATACCTGGCCCTAGCTGGGCACCAGCCAATGATGGGCTAGAGTCATGGTTTTGTTTGTTTTTAAACTTTTTATTGTGAACTAAGTAAAGGGTTACAGAGCAGATCATCAGTTTTACTTTCAATAAGTCATACATTTTGTTTCATATCCATGATTGCAATCCCTTCCATGTAGAGCACTTCCTCCTTGTAGCTCTTATTTCTAGCCCACTCACCTAGCCAACTCTTTTGAACTTTGTCTTTAGGTAAATGTGGCTCCTTTAACCATTCCATGGAGAGCACACCTTACCAGTGTTGTTATGGAGCGGAGTGGTGGGTCTTGACCCTGTTTTGAGTCAGGTGCCCTTTAAGGATCTGGTGAAGGCTCCGGATGCTTGTCTTAAGAAGAGTCCATGGGACCCATAATCTGTCATGTGATTTCAGGCCTCACAAACACTCTGAAGGGACCCATGAATGAGTTAAGAAGCCCGGGTCCACCTCTGCTGAAGTGTGGCTCATGGGGCCACAGCTCTGGTCTCCCCATGAGCCACGACACAGGAAATGTGTGTCCTTGGTCCTGTGCAGAGAGAGCAGGGAGCCATGTCCCTGAAGACTGGGGCTGTGCTTGCAGACAGCACACAACTGTCTCTCCAATTGGTCTTCCCACACACTGAAGGGATGCACAAGGTGGCCATTGGCTCCATTCCTGATCTGAGGAGGATCTTCAAGTTCAGCAAAATGACCTCAGGAAGGAAGGGGTGGGGCAACAGGAAAAGCAGGCTTGGTCTCACTCTGGAGCCTCCCAAGTAAAAGTCAACCTGTCCCACAACGAGCCAGTCCTGAGTCTAGAATCCTGGCACCATGTTTGCTCCTACCCACCATGCTCCCACGCGATCCCCTCACTGCCCATCCCGGGGGGCTCCCTCCCCTTCTCACCTACAGTAGATGCAACTTCTCTCCCACCCCCAACAAGTCTCCCACCCCTTACAGACCCACCTCCCTCAATCTTGCCCTCTCCAGTCAATCCTGCTGTTTTTAAAATGTAAATCTGACCATTTATTTGCTTATTCTAAATAAACTCTACAATATTTATTGAGCACCAACTATGTGCCAAGCCCCGTTCCTGGCTCTGAGAACCCAGTATTGAATTGACAAAACAATCGATGGATTCTGTATCCAGCCGGGAGGCCCTCCAAATGACTGCAACTGGGATTTGACATCCTCTGCTTCTGGAGTCCTGGAAAACTGCAAGGTCAGCAGTTCAAAACCCACCAGCTGCTCTCGGAAACTATTTGAAGGTACACAACAACAATAACAACATCCCATTGGGCTGCTAACCGAAAGATCTGTAGTTTGAACACATCAGCCTTTCTCAGAGAGAAAGGTGAAACTATCTGCTCCCATAAAGATTAGGGCCCAGGGAACCCGAGGGTCTACCCTGTTGTCATTGTGAGTCGGAATTGGCTAGTGGCCTGGGGTTAGTCTTGACAGTCCTCCAACTTCATTTTCCACCATTGCCCTTGACTCCCAAAGCATTCCGCACAGCTGACCTTCCACCAAGGGACCCCCTACTCAAACCCTCTTCAGCTACAGAGGTTCCAGCCGGGGGAGAATTCCTGACCCCCCACTGCAGTGAGCACTCTTCAGGATTCCTCCAGTTTCTGGTCTGCCCCTGTTTATAGGGCCCTGTAGGATAAGCATGAATTCCTGGTGTGGTGTTGTTGATAAGCACTGCACTGTTAACCACAAAGTTGGTGGTTCACACCCACCAGCTGCTCCTTGGAAACCCTATACAAGTCGCTATGAGTCAGACCAACTTGATGACACTTAACTGCAACAAGGATAAACACTGGTCTGTTAACCATAAGATTGGCAGTTCAAACCCACCAGTGGCTCTTTGGGAGAAAGATGAGATTTTTCTGCTCCGGGAAAGAATACGGGCCTCAGAAACGCTATGAATCGGAAGTGCCTCCATGGCAATGCGTTTGGGATTTGAGGAAGCTCTTCGTGTATCTGTTGGACTGTGATAGCTCCGCAAAGCTGTGATTTCTAGAGATCAGGCCATGTCTTCTTGGTTTCTACATCCTTTGAAATGTTTGGTGAATGAGTAAATGAGAGAAGAGCCATTCGTTCCAGTATCCTGGGGGCAGGGCTGGGACCAAGGGCGAGGTGCAGTGACAGTAGAAAGACACTAGAGGGAGACAGAGAGAGAGCGAGAGAAAAGATGCCATTGGTAACTTGCCACGAGGGTCACAAACAGACCTGGACTGAGGGAACGCTGGGGAAGGGTCCACCCCCAGGCTAGAAGGCTGAGCTGGCCCTTAGTGCCCCCCCTTACCCCGCTACCTGGGGAAGATGCGCTCTCGCGGTCCACCCACCCCCCACCTTAGGAAGGAACAAAAAGGGATACCTGGCTATAAGTCTCTCCCACAGTCCAGGGCTCAACCTGAACTCCTGTGCTCCCTACCTTGGGAAAGTTGAGACAGGGGAATAAAGGGGAAAATATTGACAAAAAGGCAGGCAGGAAAACAGGAAACTGCCTCCTTCCCTTCAGGGGAGTAAACAGTGGAGGTGGGGACATCTTCACTGCCCCATATCCTGAGCCTGGCACATGCCCTTTGGTTTTGGGGTGTAGCAGGCTTTCTCCTGGTCTCTCTATCCCAGATGGGGACCAGCGGACCCCTCCCCCGCCCTTCCTTTCCCTACCCATGCAGTTGCTGGGAGACTGGACAGGATTTTCCTGTTTCCTGTTTCCCTGGCAGTATTTTTCCATTCCTTTTAACCTTTTTAACCATTTTCCTGCAACGCCAGACCCAGGACAACCAAGCCCAAGTGAGTATCTAAATTGGGTGTCCCAGCTCTGAACCAGCCCCCCACACCCCTCTTCCTTCCCTCTCTTTCTTAGGATTCTGCAAACAAGGCCTTACTTGCTTTCTGCCTGCACTCTCAGGAGACCAGAAGCATGCATCTCCATGGCCATCTGCCCACTTTCTAGGGCCTCTCTTCTTCATGCTGGA